CAGTCATGTCATTGATCACTGAGTTACAGTAAGTGAAGTGAGGGAAGACAAGTGATTTTACTAGGTGTAACTTTATGTGTAAAGGTGAAAAATTCTGTAACTTCTTCAGTGAGTGGATTGATGCAAACACCTTTTTACGTATGTCTATTACTGAATCTCCCCAAGTAAGCGTCGAGTTTATAGGAAGTCCTAGATTTTTCACTTTGTCATAGTAAAGTAAAGCTGACCCATTTATAGTTACTGAGTTCACTGTGTCAAAGTCAATTGAGTTTCGTAAACGCGAATGACAAATTATTATTGGTCTTGTTTTTGTATGATTTAGTCTAAGTCCATGTTATCAGTCCCAGTAATGATTTTCTCTATGTCTTCGTTGATTTTTTTTCTCAAACACTGTCTTTGATATATTTTGCTGAAAAATGTGTATAAATCTGTAAGTTCTACTAAATAGTGTGCTGTTTGGTATTTTTATAATTGTTATCATATGTTGCATATTTGATGTTTGTTTTTATTGTATTGTTGTTTTGAACTTGAAGACTTACTTTTGGGATCTTGGCTAATAAAGTATCTATGTTTAACTGTGGTGTGAGTTTTACCTTTCACTTCATGGTGTCAGGTTAAATAAACTTTTGTGGAGAAGAAAGAACTAAGAATGGCTGAAGCAGTGAGTAGTACAGTTAGTACAGTTCAATACAAACTTGTCACACCTGAACCTTTCAATTTCAGGGAACCTTCTGAATGGCCTAGATGGATAAGAAAATTTGAAAGGTTTAGATTAGCTTCAGGATTAGACAGTAAGACTGGGGAAAATCAAGTCAATATGCTTTTATACTGTCTAGGAGATGAAGGAGAAGACCTTCTAACATCTTTCGGATTAAAAGATGAAGAATTACAGAGTTATGACACTGTCAAGGGTAGATTTGAGTCTTACTTAGGTTTCAAAATCAATATTGTATATGAGAGAGCTAAATTTCTAAAAAGACGTCAGTCTGAGGGGGAACCTGTTGATTCTTTTATAAATAGTTTACACAAACTGGCAGAGCGATGTAAACTTGGGGAATTAAAAGATGAACTAATTAGAGATTTGATAGTAATTGGGGTAAATGATGATAAACTTTCTCAAAATTTACAGTTGGACGAAAAATTAACCTTAAGTACAGCAATTTTGAAAGCAAGACAAGCAGAGAGTTTAAAACAACAACAAAAAGTAGTGAGGGAATCACCAGAAATTGAGTTTGTCAATAAGGGGATTAATCAATCCACTAAACATCGGTTTAGGGACAGTTCTTGCAATAAAAGTCAAGATCAAAGCTTTTCAAAGAAAGGTAAATGTAACAAATGTGGATTTGTTGGGCATCACAATAGCAATGATTGTCCTGCCAATCAGTCTACATGTTTCAGATGTGGAATAAAGGGACACTATGTGAGATGTTGCACCAAAGGATTTGAAGTGAGAGAAATTAATAAAAGTAATGAACTATTAGAAAAACCTAAAACCTATTTAGGGGAATTGACCATAGAAGAGGTTGGAGGACAAAATCCTTGTAAAGTAAAACTTAATGTTATGGGGCATGATATTTATTTTAAGTTAGACACTGGAGCAGACGTTTCTATAATTGGATATGATCTTTGCAAGGAGTTAAAACTGGAAACGAGTGAAACAAGTAAAATATTATTTGGTCCGGGGAAAACTAAGTTGAAAGTGGTTGGTAAGATCGTTGCTACTTTAGTGTTTAGAAATAAATCTATTGTAGAAGATATTTATGTCATTGAGCAACAACCTACTCCACTTTTAAGTAGAAATGCAATGTTGAAATTAAACCTAATTCAGTTCAACATAGTTCGATTTTCTCTAACCAAATATTTTCTCATTTTTCTGATGTTTTTGGTTCTATTGGTGAAATGAAAGGGGAAAACTACAGAATTGCACTAACACAAAATGCTCGTCCCTTTGCTGTGGCAGCCCCTCGTAGAGTGTCCGCTCCATTATTGAGCAAAGTCAAAGAAGAATTGGATCGACTGCATTCTGAGGGAATAATTGAGCCAGTGGTAGAACCAACAGACTGGTGTGCACCAATTGTTGTTGTACCGCGTAAGACAGGTGATAGAGTGAGGCTATGTGTTGATTATACCGAACTCAACAAAAGCATTCAGAGAGAAAGGTGGCAACTACCAACTGTAGAAGAAAGTCTAAGTAAATTAGAAGGCGGACAAATATTTTCATTACTAGACGCTACAAATGGATTTCTTCAAGTTCCTTTACATTATGAAAGTTACAAGCTTACGACTTTTATAACTCCTTTTGAAGGCGGACAAATATTTTCATTACTAGACGCTACAAATGGATTTCTTCAAGTTCCTTTACATTATGAAAGTTACAAGCTTACGACTTTTATAACTCCTTTTGGGCGATTCTTTTTCAAGAGGTTACCATTCGGTATTAACTCTGGCCCAGAGGTTTACCAGAAGAGGATATACCAAGTTTTGGATGGACTGGATGGGGTAGTAAACCAAGCAGATGATATACTTGTGGTCGGTAGAACACAGGAAGAACATGACCATCGGCTAGCAAATGTATTACAAAGATTGAGAGAACACAATGTTACACTTAATAAAGATAAATGTAACATTAATGTGAACAGGGTTATATTTCTAGGACATTTGATTGAAAATGGATTGATAAAGCCTGATCCTGAGAAAGTGGAGGCCATTATGAAAATGCAAACCCCAAATAATGTTAACGAACTTCGGCAATTTCTTGGCATGGTTAATTATTTGATGAAGTTTAACTTGGCTGAAGTTACAGCTCCATTGCGAATTTTACTTAAGAAAGGTTATCAGTGGGTTTGGTCTGACGTTCAAAAGAGTGCTTGGGATAAAATTAAATCCCTAATTTCTTCAAATCCAGTTCTGGTGTCTTACAACAAAAATCGTAAAACCAGAGTTGCAGCTGATGCCTCGTCATTTGGCCTAGGAGGGGTGATTGAACAATTTGTGGATGGAAAGTGGAAACCCATCACCTATGCATCGAGATCTTTATCACCGACAGAGATGCGTTATGCTCAGATAGAAAAGGAGGCACTGGCACTGACTTGGGCATGTGAGAGATTTTCACAGTATGTTTTAGGAACCGAGTTTGAACTTATGACTGACCATAAACCTTTAGTTCAGGTGCTTGGAAGTAAACAAATCGCTAGTTTATCGGCAAGACTTCAGCGGTTAAGAATGAGAATGGCTTGTTTTAGATATAAAGTAACATATGTGAAAGGAAAAGAATTTTATGTACCAGATGTTTTGTCTAGGAACCCCATTAAGTCAAATGAAGAACATGAAGACATATTGGAACAAGATATGTTTGTTCAGAGTATTTTAGATGCTATTCCTTGTTCTGACAAAAGGCTCAAGGAAATCAAAGAAGCTCAGGATACTGATGAGGAATGCGGAAGAATTAAATCCTGGATTGTGAATAACAATTGGAATAAAAATTCGGTGTATTGGAAGTACAGGACTGATCTAAACATCAGTAAAGGATTCCTCCTTTTAGGCACAAGACTGTTTATTCCAAAATCGTTGAGAAAGGAAATACTGAGTAAAATACATGAAGGTCACATGGGAATTGTCAAATGTCGAAGGCGAGTGTATGAATCGGTGTGGTGGCCTGGCTGCTCAACAGATATTGCTACACTTGTAACAAATTGTCCAGTTTGCTTGGAGCAAAGAAGTAACAAATCAGAACCTTTACTGTTGACTGAACTACCAAAAAATGCCTGGGAGTCTTTAGGTATTGACCTTTTGAAATGTAATGCGAAATGGTATTTAGTTGTGCAAGACTACTATTCTAGATTTCTTGAACTGGTTTATGTCGATGCATTGACTACTGGAGCTGTGGTTGCTAGATTGAAAAATATATTTGCTCGACATGGAGTGCCATATGTGGTAAGAGCTGATGGAGGTCCGCAATTTACTTCTCAGGATTTTAAAAATTTTGCTGAAGAATATGGTTTCCGTATAGTGACATCAAGCCCAAGGTATCCACAATCAAACGGAGAAGCAGAAAAAGCAGTTGACATAGCGAAGCGGATTCTAACGAAATGTAGTGATCCAAATCTTGGATTGCTAGAATATAGAAATACACCCTTAGAGTCTGGTCTTTCACCTGCAGAGTTACTTTATTCACGGAAGCTCCGATCAACATTACCGTCAATAAATAACTTCAGACAGGTAACAAGGGAAAGATTGCAAATGTTTAAAGAGAAGGATTTTTCAATCAAGGAAAGAAATAAGAGAAACTACGATGTAAGGAAAGGTGTAAGAAATCTCTCACAGCTTGATCAAAATGACAAAGTTTGGATTCCAGATTTAAAATGTTATGGACATGTTGAGAATAGATCAAATCATCCTCGCTCCTACCTGATAAATACACAGGCAGGGAAGATCAGAAGGAACAGGAGACATATAATAGCTGTGCATAGGCCTATTGAAAATGGTGAAAATAGATTTGAACACCAATACCAAGAAGACCAAGGAACTGAAACTGATGCTGGACATAATTACAATAGCAATGAAAATGACAGACCTAAAAGAAGTGTAAAACCACCTCTTAGATACAGTGATTCAGATTTTTATAAATAAACTAAAAAAAAAAGAGAAAAGAGAAGATGTGCTGTTTGGTATTTTTATAATTGTTATCATATGTTGCATATTTGATGTTTGTTTTTATTGTATTGTTGTTTTGAACTTGAAGACTTACTTTTGGGATCTTGGCTAATAAAGTATCTATGTTTAACTGTGGTGTGAGTTTTACCTTTCACTTCAAATAGTACTAGTCAATCTGTAAATCTACTATAGTAGTCTTTTTGCAACTACAATAGTATTGCAATAATATATGCTCAGCAGGGCTCGAATAATGACTTGTTGTTCAATCACTCAAGCTTTGGGGCTAGACTGAGCTCTATAATGAAATTGCTCGCACACGTCTAGTTGGAACCTTAGTTAAAAGTGACCTGCATGATTCGTCCAGCTCAATGCCTCCGTTGATCTCCGGCTCAGCTATGATTGGCTCTGCCGTCGCACATGCTAGCTCCTCAAACTCCTTGTACTCCACCTTGACCAGATGGTTGCCCAAACACCGGGTGTTGTCCTGGTTACCCAGCCGAGACCCTGTAATACAGAGAAGCTACAGTCTTTGAACTGAGCAACCGACAGAGTGTACTGATGACAGTTACTCATTTCCAAAGATTTCATATTTCAAGTGAAAAAAAGTTTGATCTGTTGGGGAATAGTGGTTTTGGGTCACAGGTTGACGTTAGTGTCATCCGTCTGAAAGAGTGAAAATCAAGTCAAAAATAAAAAGAAAGGAAGTATAAATTACGTAAGTAAAAGAACGATCATGCTTCTCCTTGAAAAGATATGAGAATGAGATTTTATTTACCAGCAAAAATTTCATACATATACATTGGCATGTCACATTATTTGTAAGATTAATTTAAGTCCAGTGGCGTTCATGTTCTCGACAAATAATCTTCTATTGAGTAGAATAGCTTGATTACAAAGAAAGTTTTTTACTTTAATCCTAAAATCCTTATCGCTAAGTAATCTTATTAGTCCAGGCACTAAGGGGGTTTGAGCATCCATAAAAGTGTAACAAGTGTTACAATCCATAAATCCATAAAAGTGTACAATCCATAAAAGTGTAACAATCATTTGACTTTTGATTGTTGCTATGGGTAACCAAGATGAAGAAAATCGATTTTGTCACATTCCTAGGTGGTAAATAACATGGTGGGAGGGGGTGAAGTTGGGGGGCCGCTGCGCACACAATAGGTTGTTATATCTCGAGAACCAAAAGTCATATGACATAATAGTTTAAGGGAAAATGATGAGAAGTTATTGAAAATATAATTTTTTTTAATTACGATGAGTTTAATCAGGAATATTATGATTTTCCTGCGGGGGGTTTTATAGGGTAAAAAATGGTTTTTCTTATTTTTCCCCTCAAAACACAAAATTTCCCAGTTTCTCTCTAGACCTTTTTAAAGAGCTTAAAAAAACAAATAATTCAGTATATCAAAGTGTTTTTGTACAGTTATTGGTAACGGAGAAAATTCAAAAAATTGCAAATTTAAAATTCCCATTTTATTCTTATGGAGAATATTGTAAAATGTTTTAGTTTGCTTGTTTATGGATATATTTTGATGAAACTTGGCAAATTTATTTATTTTATACTAAGCTATTAATATTTTACTAAAAAAACACACTTTATTAGTTTCCTTGTTGCAGCAAACCGAGGTACTCATTTAAACCTCATTCAATTATTTAAATAGATTTAATTGAAAATCAATTAAGAGAAGTGGAAATTCGCTTAGTCGGCAGGTTTGCTGCGGTGGGGGTATTTTAATAATAGCTAAGAATCTTTTAAAAGCTATTTTCACTATATTTTAATTACTGTAATATTTATAAAATAAAAAAGTGTAAATTGTAAAAAAATGAGTCCAACTACTACATAATAATTTTTTTAGAACCCATTTTCTACACAGTTGGTTATGTCTAACGTATTCATATGACTTTCGAGTCATTTTGTGCGCGGTGCCTAGCTAGAGCAATGACCGAGACACATGTTACGCCTTTGCTTGTTAGGTTTATTGGATCTGAGGATTGTATAGCTGTTAAGTTATGTAACGCAATAGTTTTATTACACGGAAATATTATTTCCCTATTGTATACTACTCTTCAAAGTTGTTATTTTAAAAAAATCTTGGTTCTAAACAATAACAAAAATCATAATATTCCTGATTAAACCTAACAAAAATGCAATAAATGTCCACGTTTAGAATACATTTTTCTGCACAGTTTGACATGTCTAACGTATTCATATGACTTTTGGTTCATGAGATATAATTAAGCTATTTTCTTTGTGGTGCCTCCCCCCCCCCAATTTCAGCTCCCCTTCATGATATTAACCACCTAGGAATGCGACAACATCGGCCAATTTTATTCTAATTCATACAATTACCTCTTTTGGCGAATTTCCCTATAGGGAAGTAGCTATTACCGTAGGTGGAACGGTAAGACCTAGACCCGGGACCGATTTACTTTTTCATTTTGATGTCCCCAGAGGCCAAAAACACCATTCGTTCAAATTTTTATATATGTATATATATATACGTCCGTGAACGCGATAACTTGAGTAATTTTTGTCCGATTTTGATGAAATTTGGTTTAAAGGTGTAAAGCAGGATAAACTTGAATGAGTTTGCAAACCAGCACGATCGGACCATGGGAACGGGGCTTTACGGGGGGTTTTATGGGGTAGAAATTGGTTTTTCTCACTTTTGACCCTCAAAACACAAAAATTCCCGATTTCTCCTTAGACCTTTTTAAAGAGCTTAAAAAAACAAATAATTTAGTATATAAAAGTATTTTTGTTCGATTATTAGTAACGGAGAAAATTTAAAAAATTGTAAATTTAAAATTCCCATGTTATTCTTATGGAGAATATTGTCGTTGTAGTTCGCTTTATGGATATATTTTGATCAAACTTGGCAAATTTATTTATTTTGTACTAAGCTATCAATATTTTACTCAAAAACACACTTTATTAGTTTCCTTGTAACAGCAAACCTAGGTACTCGTTAAACCTAATGTTATTAAAATACAGGGTGATTGATATAAGTGTGCCAGCCGTTTTATTCAAAAACTATAAGAGATATCAAAAAAAGTTAAATGGTAAGTGCCTTGGATTTTTTATTTGAAAAATTGCAGTCAAGTCAAACAAATTATTTTAGCCGCCATTTTTCCAATATGGCCGCCAACTTTGATTTTTCTTACGGAACACCCTGTATTTTATGATGTATTCTGATAGAAAAAGTAATTTTAAGACGATTTTATTCTTGTGATTTTTTCATAAACCTAACCGTTTCAAAGATAATAATGGTTTAAGTTGTGAAATTTTGAATGGTTTTCGAGCAAAACAGCTGGCATGCTTGCTTAGGCCTTTATCGAAACTCTTCCTCATGCAGAAATTTCAAAACTTAAACCATTATTATCTTTAAAACGGTTAGGTTTATGAAAAAAATCACAAGAATAAAATCGTCTTAAAATTACTTTTTCTATCAGAATACATCATAAAATACAGGGTGTTCCGTAAGAAAAATCAAAGTTGGCGGCCATATTGGAAAAATGGCGGCTAAAATAATTTGTTTGACTTGACTGCAATTTTTCAAATAAAAAATCCAAGGCACTTACCATTTAACTTTTTTTGATATCTCTTATAGTTTTTGAATAAAACGGCTGGCACACTTATATCAATCACCCTGTATATTTAACTGAAAATCAATTCAGACAAATGGAAATTCGCTTAGTCGGCAGGTTTGCTGCGGCGGGGGTATTAATGTGTAATTTAGAAAGAAGTAAATTTCTTCTGAGATAATATTATACTTATTCATATTACTATCCATCCACCTGGAGTCAGTTTTTCTAGTCCGAGATTGTAAAGTCGCAAAAGTTCATCTTCATTGCTAAGGTTATGGTCACAGCTGAGCTGCACCACTTTCATCACTCTGTTCTCATCTGTACGACAAAGAAGAGCTCGGCTGTCTCCAACATTAGCAACAAAGAGTCGGTTGTTACGAATCAAGGCGATCACTGCAGTGGTACCACTAGACAGCTCACCATTCAGCCGCTTCAGTTTGTCGACCTGATAAGACAGAAAAGTATCATTGAAGTTGACTAATGATATGATGTCTTAACCTTGCAATAACGTAAATTCAGTCTGACAATACCAGTATTACATGAATGACTACTGGAAGGGTGACATGTTTGATAAATACATGGCTGTTTAAAATAACAGAAAGAGATATATCTCGCAATGAAATAATAGTAATAATCATTACAAAAATGATTCTGACAAAATTCTGTGACACACATACTTTTTTTTATCTATTAGACCTTTTATAAGATTGCTGGGTAGGCCCTATGTACTGCAGGCTGCTACGTCATCAAGGCCAGATTTCACTGTACTTTTAGTCAGGACTTATTTTGAAGGGCAATATAGAGGAATGGTGTTGCTGAACATACTGATTCTGGTTTTATATTGTTTTCAGTTGTGCGGAGCACAATCATCCGTAAAAAATAGAGAATCAGAGAGGTTGTAGATTGAGAGGAGATAAAGTCCTAGCTATGAGTTTCCACAATCTCAAACACTAATGATTAGTAGAATACGTAATATTGTAAAGCTATTTCATGATGTAAAACCGCACGAGTATGACAACATGATGCTTACCAGGTGGGGATACTTTTGGTAGGCTTCATAAGATGTTAACCCGTCTGGAATTTCCTCTTTAACACACGTACGCTCAGCCAATGTATCGCCAATACTGAGTGAGTAACTTTTCTCTACAGAGATAAATGCTTGCCTGAAACGTGGAAATCATAAATCCAAGTGGAAACTTATACTGAGTAGGTAAGATGTTTGTGTTACCCTATGCAGCTTGTGTGGCATCTTCTGGGACCTTCTTAAGCTATCATCTTATCACTAGCACAATAGCCTATACTGTACTTACAATAGCTATTTGTGTAAGTACGTATTGGCAAAGTACGTCATTGCCGCTCATGAACTGTAGATGCATACATTTTGAGATCGGCAATGACTGTTTGTGATTGTAATACTCACAAGATTTTTCCTACCACCTTAATTAGCTTATCATAACACACAGATAACCTTTTTAGTTGTACATAGAATGACATTTAGGTTATGTTTGCTTTTATAGCGAATTTCCCATATAGGGAATGAGCTATATTACCGCAGGTGTCAGGGTAAAACCTTTTTTTCGTTTTGAGGTCCCTAGGGGCCAAAAACACCATCCATTATTTGTCTGTGCTGTAATTTGAAAGTCTGTAAACTAGAGATCAAAAGACAGCAATCTTTTGGCAGTATGGGTGGTTTGAATCTGCTGGTTGGTAATATAGGATCGGTTTGTAGGTTTTCTGTAAAATCCTTTCTGTACTTTTGAATTAATTCTGGTTATTGTTGTATCTACGATAGTTATTTGTGTAACTAGTGAGCAAAGTGGTAGTTTGCTGCACACAAGAGCGGAATGATCTCGAGTGGAGCAAAGGCCTTTTGCACTTGTGTTACACATTATATTTTTCCTACATTCACTATAAAGCATATAAATAATTAGTCTTTCAAACACTACACAACACGTTTTAGGTTATGTTAAACCCAAGCCATGAATGGAATGGGAAATATTGCACCAGCTGATTGTAGTCGTAGTATCTTTAAGTGTTACTTATTTTCAAGAGTACAGGTATAAACAGTAATAATCAGTATAAACAAATAATAAACAAGTAGATTGTTCTTCAAAATATGCCAAAAAAACATTTTCTGACAGTTTTGTAACTTTCTTACTTGCGCTCCAAGAGGAAAACAGTTCGTATGCTCGTTCATACTTCTTTCTTGATTTTTCAGGTACAGTAACAGGTTTAATGAAACATGTTTTCAGTTTCTGCTATTTCTGGTCTACCATTATATTCACAATCACTTTCACTGAGTTCATTATTTTTAAACATGTTAGGCCTACTTATAATTCATCTTTCAAATACTACATTGCAGGTTGTGTTCAAACCAAGCGTTGAAGGAAAATAGAACATCTTCTATATATATAATACGCTAAGCCGATTTTTGTAAACAGAACTCCTCCCTCATTTTTGGACCGATTTTAATTATTAAAGTGTAAAAATTGGCCCTGATCTGTAGTTATGCAAAGTATTTTTCATTTTTTCATATCTTTATTAGTTTGTGCAGGATCTTCCATAAAAGTTGGGTTTTCTCCCATAAGATTAACATGGGGGAATCTAATATTTAATTGGAAACTTTGTCTCCACTAATTTGAGAGAACGGCTGGGAGTAGAAACTTGGTAGAGGTTCCAAAGAAAGGTCTTGGTCTGTAGATGAGTTATCAAAAGAAAAACTAAGTAAATTTGCTTAGGGCTCTGCCACAGAAGCCTTTAAAGATCCCTCCACAGATTTGTTTACATTTTGGCCATGTGGATAATATTTTTTAATGAAACAGCTGTTAATTTTAAAATCGTATTTTAAACAACACACATGTATTGGGAGTTACTGAATATTGTCCAAAAGAAGTATTTGCAATGTTATTTTCTGAATTTAAAATTGATTTTCTTCTGTATCATGTCATGTTTTGCAATATAACGTTCTATACGAAATCAGTGGAAAATCCTTTTATCACAGTAACTTTTACAATTATTTTTATTGAAGTCAAGTATCTGTAAAAAATATTAAAGACAGACAAGACTTTGACAAAAAAGATGTGTATTTATTGGACATTATTTACAATCATAATATAATAATAAAACATGTGTTAGTTCTATTAGAATAAATAAAGAAGGCAGGCATAAATTAAACATATTAAAGAACACAAATCAATGTGTCAACATATTACATCTTTTCCCCTCCAACGGTAAGGACTGCAACTTTAGTTAGAGGCCGGCGATAAGTTCCTTTTGATGTTGTGATGTCTACTATTCGTACTTGGCCATCGTGACCTGGGTAGACAGCCGAGATTCGGCCAAGGGGCCATGTATTTCTTGGGCAGTTTTCCTCAATTATTATTGCTAGATCGTCAATCTTTGGTGGGTCCAATTTCTTGTGCCATTTGCACCGTCTTGAAAGGCATGGAAGGTACTCGTGCAGCCATCTCTTCCAGAAGCCGTCTAGGAGTGATTTAACACGAGCTAATTGTCGTTTACACAGTTGGTCTTCGTTTAGGTTGATTTTGTAAGCTTCTCTTAGAAAATGGTTTGGTGTGATTGGTTCGGGGTCATTGGGATCCAGAGAAACATGTGTGAGTGGGCGAGAATTTATTATAAATTCAACGCAAACCATGAATGTCTGATGCTCTTCGTCTTTTGGGTACTGGCAGCGCATAACACTCCTTAATGCGGTCTTTACAGACCTAACAAGTCTTTCCCAGCAGCCTCCCATATGTGGTGCTCGCGGGTAAATGAAATTCCACTTTATCCCGTAGTTCACCACGTCTTTTTGGATATTTTCATGCTTGAGTGACTTTACAGCGTTTCTAAGTTCCCTATCTGCAGCTACAAAGTTTGTGCCATTGTCGGAATTTAATTCTGAGGGAACTGGTCTTCGGCTGATGAATCGTTGAATCGCCATTATACAACTCTCTGTGTTAAGAGAATGAGCCGTTTCGATATGAATTGCTCGAGTCGATAAACAGGTAAATAAGACACCATATCTTTTCTCATGTCTGCGGCCAACAGTAACTTCGATAGGTCCGAAATAATCCACTCCAGTGTAGAAGAATGGATGTTGCACTTTTGAGGTCCTTAACTGTGGTAGTGCAGCCATCTGAGGAGGATAAGGTTTGGCATTGTCTATGCTACACCTCATGCAGCTCCTTTGAACTTTCTTGGCGACTGATCGTACGTTTAAGATCCAGAACTGTTGTCTAGTCATATTGATAACAGTCTCGATGCCCTGATGGAAACATTTCTCGTGAAACATTTTTACGATTAGTTTAGCCGTATGACTTTTGCCGTCTAAAATGATAGGATGCTTTTGTTCTTCGCTTATTTCTGGTGAACTATGTATTCTACTCGACATTCTTATTAGAGACTGATCAATGAAGGGATTTAAAGAGAATATTCTACTGGACTTTGGTAGCGGTTTGTTCTTCAGCAGGAAATTTTTTTCTTCATTGAAGCTTGCCTTTTGAGACATTGATATCAAGTTCTTTTCAGCTTTTTGAATTTCCTCTGGTTGAAGTTCTGGTATATTTCCAAAATCTACGTTGACCGTTTTCAGTTTCTTTTTGGTGGTGATGGTAGTATGGGACCTTAGCATGCTAACAAATCTGTGTACCCATGCTAATACACGTGTCACTTTTTCCCAAGAAGAAAAGTTTTCAACTGTCAAAAGAGGAGGGTTTTCATTACTGTTTACAACTCCGACGAATTTCTTCTTTGTTTCTTCGTTATCCTTGACTTGTAGTGTGGCCGGTTGTATTGGCCAGTCACTAGATTCTCGCATTAGAAATGAGGGTCCGTGAATCCATTCAGAATGCATGGCTGATGTAAACTTTTTGTTACTTCTAGTTGCAACATCTGCCGGATTCTGTTTTGATGGAACCCATCTCCATTCTTCAGGTTTAGACAAATCTTGAATTTCTCCAATTCTATTGGAAACATACTGTTTGAATTGTCTAGGGTCGGATTTCAGCCAGTGCAAAACTGTTACAGAATCTGACCAAAATATCTGACGAGAAATAGTTAAGTCAATGTCTTTTATGATGCTACAAGCTATTCTGCATCCAAGAACAGCTGCTTGGAGTTCTAGTCGGGGAATGGTTGTTTGTTTGAGTGGTGCTACTTTGGCACGTGCCATAACAAGCATGGTCTTGTAAGTACCTCTGGCACATCCATGGCGTATATATGAAACTGCTGCATAGGCCTCTTCACTAGCATCAACAAACGTATGGAGTTCAACTTCTTCAATTGTTTTGACGTTAAAATAGCATCGAGGTATGGTGAAGCTCTGCAGACATTTTACTTCTTGTAGCCAGTCTTGCCATTTTTTACTAAGTTCTATCGAAAGAACTTCGTCCCACGTTATGTTTGTTCGCCAAATGTCCTGAACAAGCATTCTCCCTTTTATAGTAGTAGGTACAACTAATCCCAATGGATCGAAAATGGACATAGCTCCTCTTAAAACTTCACGTTTGGTCGGATACCTTGTTTCAACTAACTGTACCTTTTTGGCGTTCCGGTGAAATGAAAAGTGGTCAGTTTCAGCATCCCACCACATTCCGAGGATACGTTCTGTAGGTAGACGACTTTCAGGTTGCAGCTGTTTTGTAGAGTTTGTCTTCAAATCTTCCGGTATTTCAAGTAAAATTTCTTTTGAATTTGACAACCAGTTTCAGATTTTAAAACCTCCGGACTTGTGAATTTCTGTTATCTGTTCTATTCTAATTCTAGCTTCTTCTTCTGTATCAGTAGAGTCTAGTAGATCGTCCATGTATTCACTGCAGAGGATCGCTTTACTTGCTTCTGGGTAAATTTGTAGAAACCTCTTGGCGTTGCTGTTTACTACATACAAGGCAGTACTCGGGGGACTTGTTGATCCAAATATCATTGCTTCCATGATATAGGTATCTGGTTCGTTGTTCGGATCTTCTCTCCATAGAAACCTTTGCGAATCGACATCTTCTTTTCTGATACATACTTGATGAAACATTTCTTGTATGTCACCTGCGATCGCAAATTTTCTTAATCTGAATTTGAGAAGTACTGCTGGCAGAGGGTTCAAAAGGTCAGGACCACTAAGCAAACCATCATTGAATGACACACCATTCGCTTTAGCAGCTGCGTCAAA